AATGAGTCATATTTGTATTTTTTGGTTTGTCTGCCTGTTTTTTTTTTTTTTTTTATTTTAAACTGAAAAAAAAACAATACAGCTTGGAAGCTAACAATAGCCCACACTGAGTGGTGGGCATAGGGGGTTTGTTATATTATTCTTTGTACTTTTCTCTTAAAATTTTTTTCAGGCCGGGCGCGATGGCTCACGCCTGTAATCCTAGCACTCTGGGAGGCCGAGGCGGGCGGATTGTTTGAGCTCAGGAGTTCCAGACCAGCCTGAGCAAGAGCGAGACTCTGTCTCTACTAAAAAAAAAAAAAATAGAAAGAAATTAATTGGACAACTAAAAATATATAGAAAAAATTAGCCGGGCGTGGTGGCACATGCCTGTAGTCCCAGCTACTCGGGAGGCTGAGGCAGAAGGATCGCTTGAGCCCAGGAGTTTGAGGTTGCTGTGAGCTGGGCTGACGCCGCGGCACTCACTCTAGCCCGGGCAAAAGAGTGAGACTCTGTCTCAAAAAAAAAAAAAAAAAAATTTTTTTTTGATTTTAAAATCTTTTTCTTACAAAAAAATTCATGAAAAATTTTTTGTGTAAATTTCTCAGAGATGGGGTCCTGCTCTGTCGCCCAGGCTGGTGTGCAGTGGTGTGATCACAGCTCACTGCAACCTTGAACCCCTGGGCTCAAGTGATCCTCCCACCTTGGCCTCCCAAAGTGCTGGGATTACAGACATAAGCCACCGTGCCCAGACTAAAATCTCTTATAAACACTTTTTTTATAAAGAATTTTTTTCTATGTTCAAATTTTTTTCTTATGTTAAAATTTTTTCTTATGATTTTAAAATAATCCATGAGATAGTCGGAAGCCGAATTGCTCTGAGGGAAGTGGGGCGCAGGCCCCGGCTCTCTCTGCCTTCCTGTGGTGGATGCCCCAGCCTAGGTGGGCAGAGGCAGGAACGCTGTGGACAGCAAACTCTGGTGCCAGTCTGCAAGGATTCAAACCCTGGTTCTGCCACTTTCTAGCCTGACACCAGGCAAATGGCTCCATGCCTTCCTGGTCCCTGCTCCTCTCCACACTGGCCTGAAGCTCAGGGTTTTCTAGGAAAGTAGAACCCCACAGCTGGGGAAAACCCACAATCACTTCATGGGGATTCATTCATGTATTCATTCAACAAACCATCCTGAGAACGTCCTTCCCTGTGTAGTCCCCACCACAAGAGATACGATGGAGGGGGAGGCTGGGGCAGGATGATTTAGTTTGGACACAGGACCCAGCGGATGGAGTGACACGTCCTTCAGAGCCACATTCCACCAGCCCTCACGCAGCCTGCCCCAAAGAGGACATGGGAGCTCGGGGAGGGGCCCCACGTCACACGGCCTCCCTGTGCCCTTTGTCCTCGGAGGTGCCTGAGTGCCTGGCCAGGCCTGAGGCAGGAACACCCAGGAAACCTGTCCCGGAAGGATGGGCTGGGGGGGGCCCCGGCCAGAGCCCAGGAAAGAGTAAGCGGAGGGGAAGGCCCGTGACGGCGATCTCCGCTGTCCGTGGATTTAGCTGGAAAGGATGCCATGTCGCGTTGTGCCAGCCACCCCTTGCTGCAGTGACCCTGCCTGACAAACCACCCCCGAATCAGTGTGCTGAACATCGTTTATTCCCGCAGTCATGGGTCTGCGGGTCAGCTGATCTGGGATGGGCAGATTTGTCCCTTTTCGGTGTCTGTCCTCCTCCGTGGCCCAGCAGCTACCGGGTGTCCTGATCATTATGTCAGCGGCAGAAGCTCACACAGGGCGAGCGGAGACTCGGCACTGCCTCGCTGTGACTCCCGCCCAAACCCGACTGGCCAAAGCAAGTCACATGGTGGGAGGAACCGCACAGGCACGTAGGAGAGGGCGTGTGTGGGGAGGCTGAGGGGCTGGGAATGGTGACGCACCTGGCACCTGCTTCCTGCTGCGAGCCACTCTGGGTGGTGTCAAGACGGATGTCAGGAGGGCCACTGTGCCGTGGAGGGGACCACTGCAGTCCGGAAAGGTAAAATGATTTTTCTCTCGCCCCAGCACAAGGTGGGCCAGACCCTCAGCCAGCTGATCGCTCAGGGCCACTTGTTTCCCACCGGCCTCGACCTTTGCTGCCGGCCCTGCACACCCCAGGGTCTGTGTCTCTCCTGGCGGGTGTTGTCACATCTGGAGAGGTGTCACTTCCAGAATGCCCGTGGCTGCAGGAAACACACATGTGAGCACACGCAGACACACAGAGACAGACACATGTACAGACAGACACAGAAAAAGACAGTTTATTTTTGGCCAAACTTGGGAATTCTAGAGAAAAATCTACATGCAATACCATATTTTTAGTGCTAAATGGTGCTAAAAGCCTTTTCTGGCACCCTTAAAGATGGAGAGTTGCTTTGCTAGTTTGGGAACAGAAAGCTGAACCATGCTGTGTCACCTGGGTTTGTCCACGTGCCTTGTTGGGTGCACTCACTTGCTGGCAAGACCTGGCTGCCTCCGGCTGCAGTCACATGTGCTGTCCCTGCACATGCATTAAAACGATGCCCGTCCCTAGAGAACAGCTCAGACCCCAGCTCTCTGAGGCCCCAGTTCGTCCAAGGTGGGGGAAGGGAAGGAACCCGTCACCATCAGACACAAACCAACTGGGCCATTGCTGAGAACTTTCTGTTTCATCTGAAGAAAGTTGAGGCGTCAACTTCCTGACGTCCAGCAGGCCCTGAAGGATGAGTGTGCACAGGCCTGATCACCCCCCTGCCCTCCCCAGCCAAGGGCCAGGAATGGCCATGAGACAACCCTAGCCACAGGATGGGGGAGCTGTTTGCCTTAGGAGCCTTCCAGGAAAGATGTCTTTAGTCCTTGGGAGGAGACAGGGAGAGCTTGTCTCTCTGGAATGCTTTTTCTGGTTGTTGCTGTGTGTGGATGTGATGTGATGCCTGGATCCTGGCGGCCCCCTTATATTCCTGAGGGCTGTCTTAGGGTAATGCTGACGTGGAGTGTTAACTATGTGCCAAGCAGGCCCTGTGTTCAGTATTTGACATTGGTAAACACTTTCCAGATCTTCCTGTGTGTAGGGTCTTGGGGACATAATGGAATCGGGGCTGTTCCCACCCTCAAGGTGGTCCAAGCCAGGGAAGGGTAATAGAGTCAGATGACAGCAACACAGTATGGGGTATGCTGTGATGACAGAAGTCCAGGGTGCTGGGGGAGCACCCTCCCTCCTGCTGTCTCCCCACCTCATCACTCTGCCAACCTCTCTCCATCTGGGCTCCTCGCGGGCCCAGTGCCAGCCTTGTCCAACAGCAACGACAGTGACAGTCATGCATGTGGGTGCAGCACCTTGCATCTGTCAGCTCCCTTAGTCCTTATGGATCCTCGTGGGGTACGTGCTCCCCATTTTCCAGCCAGGGAAACCAGGAGCAGGGCACTGACGCCTGCAGAGGCTCTCGGCCACTGCACGTAGCTTCTCCATCCGGGGAGGCCACACCAAGGGCTTACAGTCCGCACGCCGTCACTTGCCCACCCGCCAGCACTTCTGCACCATCACTGCCTGTCCTGCATTCTCCAGGGCCCGGGCTATTGGTACTTCCGCTCTGCCTGATGGAACTGAGGCCCCCTCCTCACCGGCTCCCTCCCTGTCTGCCCCTCTGAGAGTCGGGCCGGCTCCTTCTTGCAGGAGGGGAGAGCTTGCCCAGGCTGCACACACGGATCTTATGCAACTCCACAGGAACGGCGCAGGCGCTGCTGTGCCGTTTCACAGAACAGAAAACTGAAGCCCAGAGTGAGGAAGAGGCCAGAGCAGCACACAGCAGGGAGGAACTGGATCCAGACTGACCCTGGTCAGCTCTGTCTGATCTCAAAGCCTGAGTGAGAACGGGGACAGCGGGCAGAGCAAAGCCTGTTGGGAAACCGCAGTTTGCTGGGCGTGCACCCAAGGTCTGGAAGGGAGGGCAGTGAGGCTGGCAGGTTGTCTGGGAGGATCTCCCTGGGCTGAGCAGGGGTCACAGAAACAAGAGGATGGATTTGTGGGACCCGGAGACTGGCTGGATAGAGAATGGGATGAGGACGGCACCGTCCTCCTTTTAGGAGGCCCTTCCTGAGCTGCATGCGGCACTTCTGCCCAGCTGCTGTGTCCAAAACATTGCCACACGCTGGCTTCTAGCAGCAAACCACGCTGGGGCATGCAGTGTGTATTCCGGCTGCTTTTTGCCCAAAGTCAGGGCTCAGGTCCTTGAGAAAAAGCGGGAGTGGATGTCGGGGAGGACTGGAAGCAGAGGCTCCTGCCGGCTGGCCGACTCTGGGCAGGCTGAGTTCCCTAAGTATCCACGGCCACACCTGTGACTCAGGACACCAGCAGAGAGGACCATGCCTTGTGGACACTCAGTAGACACAGGCTGGGGATCAAGTGGGGGCCTGAGAGCAGGTGAGTGGGGGTTGAGCTGGGGGGGTGGCACAGGACAACCCCAGGAGCTGGCGGCAAGGTGGGAGGGCCAAGGTGCAGGTGTCCGGGCTGCAGAGGGCTTACGGAGAGGGCAGTGCCAAGCGGAGGCCGGGGGCCCCGGGAGAACTGCTGTGGGAGGTGGAGCAGGAGCCAGCGCTGCAGCGGGAAGCGGCAGCCACAGCAGTCCAGGTGGGAAGGGCGCGGGGAGAGGGGGCTTTCCTTTGGGGGAAGGAGTCAGACATGTTTGGGTGATGCCAAGGAAGGAGCTGGCAGGGAGGAGAGGTGCCCAGGTGACATGTAGGTGGAGCTGCTTTGTCCTCCTCCAGGGAAGGCACCTGCTCCTGCCTGGGCTGGCCTCTCTGAGTGGGAGGGGCAGCCTGGCCGCTGGAGAGAGAGGGGAAACGCCGGGGAAGTCTGCAGGGCAGCAGAAGAGATCTGCTCCCCAAACCCGTGCACGGGAGGGGCCGCGCCACCAGGGCTTTGGTCACTCCCAGGCAGGATGCGTGAGATCCCAGCAGTGATCACACCCCTCTTAAGAAATTACACAGAGCTTTATTACACAGACCAAACAGCAAGGCTCCTGTTCACATCCAGGATGTTGGTCTGAGCTCAAGTGATGGGCAAGGCACATTCTTCCTTCCTCCAGCTTCGGGAAAATCAACGGCATGGCGGGCCCCAGAGGACTGAGGTGGATTCGCGTGTGATCCTCGCAGTTGGACAGGACTCTCCACACGCGGTGTCCATGTGTGTACAGCTCTGGGCCCTGAGTCTCGGGTCTCCCTGAGTGGCACTGCGCCTTGGCCTAGAGCAGAGCGGCCGCATTCTGAGAGTCTCAGATCCGGAACAAGGAGCTGGAAGAGGAGTTTTCTGAGTGGTCTTCTCCTTCCCCAGCCCTCAGGGAGCCCCTTGCTGGCGGGTAGGCCCTAGACCGCCAGCACCCTGCTCACTGGCCCACGCTGGCAGGCTGCTTGGGGGCCTGGGCCCGGCGAGCGACCGCTGGAGAGGCTGTGGCTCACGCAGGCAGGCAACGGCTCAGATCTGTTGAGGTGCTGGAGCGTCATACACAAAGGACAGTAGCGCTGGGCCAATAACACTGGGTCTTTGTGCTGACGCAGAACATAGCGCTTCTCAAAACAAACACACGGAAAGGGAGACCCTGCCACCACCTCAAGGACGTTCTCCTAAGGACGATACTGCATGTCGCTGAGGTTATGGAGAGGCCAGGACAGGGAGACAGAGAGGGACCCCCACTCGGGACATCCCTGCGGGGACGAAGCCAAGTGCACCAGATGTCGCGGCAGCTTATGCAATGACGGACACAGAGGCTGAACTCTGCTCACAGCGGCCCAACGTGGGGGGAGCGGCCTGCGGCAGCTCGCGGGCTTTCCTGGCATCTCGCCGCCACGGGCTCAGCTGTCAAGGGCTCCAGGGCGCTGGTTCCTGAGGCTTCCCCTGCAGTGGCGGGGCAGGCGCAGGACACTCACGTCCATTTGCTCCCCAAATTTCCTAGCAGCCTCCAGACCAGGGGAAAAGTAAGTTTTCACAGTGGGAAAAAATACCAAAAATCCCCCGAAGTAGTGTGACGGTTCTTTCCCTGAGAGCACTGCAGCAGCGTCGGCTGCGGACAACCGACCAGAGCTTCTCGCTGCTCAGTGTCGTGAGGGGGACTCAGCGATGCTGCAAAGTCAAGTCACAATGCTGTCCAGAGGAAAGGATGAGCCAGACGGTCTCACTTTGCAAGACTTGGGAGGAAAAAACCACACAAACTTAAAACTCCTCCACTGAAGTGTATGCCAGGAAGCACGACTAAACTAGCTCTACCAACACAGAGGGGCGGGGAAGGGGGCCTGGGGACGGGGGCTCAGGTCTGGAGGGGCCCCTTCCAGTGAGAACATTGATGAGCAGGGGTGTCCCTGTCCTGGAGGGGCGCGAGGAGCTGCCCGCAGGTCCCAGCTCCTGCGGGCCTAGTGGGAGGCGTAGGCCGGGCTCCACAGCCCTGAGGGCGGGCTGGCTTTGCGAGCAGGAGGCAGCGCGTTCAGAGATGCTGGTGACGAGGCAGCAAAATCTAGGGTGGAAAGAAAGATGGAGTGAGCAGAGAGCCAGGGGGAGAGCTGCCCGGCACTCCCCAGCTCTGAGTCGGAACGCACTGAGAGCCTGCCCGCCTCGCAGCCGGGCACTTTCCTAAGGGTGCCCTGAGGCCTCCCGGCGCCAGCAGAGGGAAATGACAGGGGCTTGCTGAGCTGGCCCAACATGGAAGAGGCGATAGACATGGGAGGACCAGGGTGTGGCCCTGACTTGCAGAGCCTGGCTGGGAGACAAGTCTGGGGTTTCAGGACGGCCTGGCAGGGTCTGAGCCTGGGGCATGCAGGAGGGAGGGCCCGTCTGGCTGGGGGGCCCAGCGCCTCGTGAGAACGCTGCGTGGACGGACAGTCTGGAGTGTTTGGAGGCAGTGCACAGACCCCGGTGTGGATCCAACACACAGGGAGGAATGCGCTGGGAAAGGTGGCTAGAAAGGATGAGTCATTGCAAGAACCGGCTGCGTGATACAGCCCACTTTCTGGGGCAGTGAGCTGCTGAGCACCTGGGGCCTTCCCTGGGCCTGTTTCACAGGTGTGAGAGGCAACCAGGTAGAAGGCTACGATTCTAGGAGTCCAGGAAGTGTGTGGGATCTTGTTTCCCAAGAAGAGCTTCTATCTACAAAACTGTGTCCTCTTTCAAAAAATTTAAGGACCTCCTTGAAGTCCATCCATGGCCCCCCAGAGGGCCAATAGATACCAACTCAAGGATTCCTTGTGTAGGAGAGAGAACCCTCAGATGGGAATTAGGAGACATAAAGGGCTGCTGTGTGCAGCTGCACAGGTTGGGCACTGCATAGTTTCAGGGGATACCCACTTACAGAGAGAGGTGCCTCCTAGAGTTGTGTGGGGTCACCAGGGCCTTGGGACCACCAGAGAGACAACTGAGCTGCTGAAAGGACTAGGATTTGCCCTTCCTCTTTGTCTGGGAAATCCCTCATCAGAACTGTCCAGAATCCTCATCTCAGAGTCAGCTGGTCCAACCCCAGCCTGGAGCTTTCTGTAGCAGCCCCAGCAGGTGGGCCTGCAGTCTCAGCATGTACGCCTGCCGGGACAGGGCTCCCTGCTGCCGACACCTCTGCCCGCACGCTCTGCCTGGGGAAAGCGCTTACTGACCCAGAACTGGCATCAAGCTGTTCCCCCATTCCTGACTCCCAGATCTGTCCTCTGGGTCTCAGGCCTAGTTGCTCCTTTTGCCTAGACACAGGCCTGCTGAGACTTGGGGCTCAGGACCTCGACCCCACCCCATGCCCAGGGCTCCTCCTCTTTCCTCGCGGCTCTGCCCAGCTGTGCCTGCGGAAGCACTACTCACGGTGGGCGCTGTGCCGAGGGCTGGCTCGGGGCGTGAGGGCCGCAGGTACCGTGAGCTCCCGGGGCGCACAGACTGTGTGGTAGGCTGCAAAGATACACGGCCGGTTAGTGCGGGTGGGAACAGGGGAGCAGACCCGAAGACACACACAGCCTGCCTCACCTATGATCATGACGGCCGTCCCAGCCAGCAGGGCAAAGAGCGTGAAGAACATGACTTGGTAGGAATCCAGGAAGTGCTGAAAGAGGCTGGCTCCGTCTGCCATCAGTGAAAGACAAGTTACCAAAATGCAAGGGCCATGGCAGTGTCCCCAGTGTTCGTGCGCTACCGTACATACGCAGGGTGGCTTGCGGGCCCCTCCAAGATACGAGATCAGTGGGTCTCAGAGGGCCCGGTGGGCTGCTCGAGGCCTGAGTCAGCTTCCGGTCCTGCCCCCTGGTGCCCCGTTCCCTTCCACCTTGGGCCTCTGAACTAAGTCTCACAGAACCCAGTTCTGTGAGACTCGGCTGCCTGCTAGGCAGTGCTTCCCTCGTGCGACAGCTCCGTGCCCCACGTTTCTGCACCCATCCTGCCTGGGAGTCAGCCATGCTGCCCGAAAGGAAGGCAGTTTGAAACTGTTAAGTCACAAGGGACAGCTACAAAAACACAAGCATCAGCCAGGAGCCCGCTAGTGGGATGGAGTGCCACTACTCTCAGAATCTGAGCCTCGAGGCCCAGACTGAGCCCAACAAATTGTACCCCAAAGCTGCTGCTCTTCAGGGGCCCCCACAGTGGGATGGCCCAGGCCTGGCTTCCTCCTCCATCTCATTCCTCCTCACATCTTATATGGGGCCTAGACTGCTGCATTTCTGCCCCAAGTCAGGACACGTCCCTTCTCTCCAGGAAGAAGGCAGCAGGTGGCCGCCAATTCCCCTGACGGCCGCCTACTCCCTTCACTCTGCTCCTGGCCAGGCAGCTGGAGCTGACCGTGCCAAAGCCCGGGCCCCTGGCCTGGCACTCTGGCTCCTCCAGGCCCAGCTGCCCCACCTCACGCAGGGTCTGTCTCACTGCATTCCCTCCCCGGCCACCCAGCCTTCCCGACCCAGCTGGAGCAGCCCCCCTGAACTGCACTCTCCTCCCACCAGAGCAAGCCACCCCCTGTCCCGGCCACATAGTCAGAATCATGCCCACTGCACCTGCAAATCTGTGTCCTCTCTAATGAGGGGGCTTTTCATACACCTGCCTGGCACAGGGTCTTGCCCACACAGGTGCTCATCGGCGACTACAGAACACACGCATCCATCCACTCAATAATACGCACTGAGCACCTGCTGTTTGTCTGGTGGGCCCTATCCTAAGTGCTGTTCTCACGTATTTAATTTCTCGTTGGGGAAGACAAGTAGAAACTTAATAATTAATTACGTTGTCATGCAGATAGACAGTTGGCAACAGTGCTACAGTGAACAAAAAAGGGTTCAAGTGTTTGGGAGCGAGGTTCTAACTTTCAATATATTTCGATATTTGAGGAGCTGAGGTGTTGGCCAAGGAGCCATCTGGGGGAACAGCATCCCAGGCATAGGGAATGGCGGATGCCAAGGGCTCGAGCTGGGGTGGCACGTGTTCCAGAAACAGGACAGTATGCCTGCAGCAGAGGACGCAAGGCAGAGATGCCTCACAAATGGGTAGAGAAGGCAGACTGCGTGGGGTCTTACGGGCCACCGCAGGGACGAAGGCTTTGCCTGCAAGGGAGGTGGGGGCCACAGCAGGCTGCTTAGCAGAGGAGGGGCACAGTCCCGGTGGCTGCCACGCTGAGAGCAGATGGGAGCTGCGGGGACAGATCAGGCATGATGGCCTGAACAAGCCACTATCACTCTGACGGACAGTCTGCATTTCTGACTCCTCCAATTTCCACACCCAGGTTTTTCCTGACACCCACAACCACTCCAGCCTGTCCCTCCCCACCCAGCTCTGACCCCGCTGATGTCATCCCATGACTCACAAGGACCAGGTCCATGGCGATCCATCATGAAGGCCACAGTCACCGGGACGGTGATGGCCTGGTTGGTCGTGGGGCTGGAGAAGGTCAGGAGAGTGGACAGAGGCCCCTGGCTGCCAGCCGTGGGGTCTGAGACCCCAACCATGTATGTGATGAAGCTGGGCAGCCCGAAAGACTTCTCCTTCTCGATGACCAGCACGGCGGGGGACCCGGATTTCACCTGGGAGAGATGTCAGGGCTGGGGGAACACGCTCTGCAGACAGCGGAGTGACCTCCAAGTGGGGCCGAGGACTTCCAAGCGGGCGTGCAGCTCTGTGCACCCCATCTCTGGAAGCACCCCCGTGTCAGCCTGACACGGTGGGCTTCCCTCCCAGGGCCCAAAGGATATGGGTGGGGACCTCTGCCCAAGTCACACCTCCCAGGCAGGTGATGACACCTGGGTATTGCTCATGGACAGTGTGCAGTCAGCAAGGTCAGGAAACACTGTCTCTAAGGAAAGGGCAAAGCAACCTCATCGAATTCTCATCAAGTGCTGTGTCCATAACGCTAAACTAACATGCCGTGTCACCAAGCACCGACTCTCTGAGGGGGCAGCCCGGAGCTCTGTTCCCACCTCCAGCAGCCCCCTGAGGGGCTGGCCATCCTCGTCCGCAACGCACGTGCTCCCCGTGTCTCTCCGAGCAGCGAGCCCCATCTGCCGCAGCGAGACCAGAGGAGCAGCAGGCAGGAAAGCCAGCGAGCTCCTTCGTCCTGTCGCCCCAGAACTCGCCACGCGTGTCGGGATCCGGACCCTAGCGATCATTCACCCGACTTCTCTGACGGGGGAGTGAGGCCTGGAGAGAGGGCTTGTCCCCAGAGGGACTAGGGCTTGTCCCCCTGTCCATGGCCGAGCGCTCCTGCCCTGTGTCCACTCGCTGTGCAGCCCGCGCTGCATCCCAGGGCTCCCTGCACGCCAAGCCTGCCGCTGGGGAAGCCCAGCAGAAACCGTGGAAATTAGCAAGATTACATGGGCTGATAGTGGCGACAGTGTACGGAAAAAGGAAAAGGGTAAGACTATTCCATTTTTTAAAAAAATTCCTAATTGTCAGTCTTAATTTTAAGGAGAGGAGGCTCAGGATGTCCGCATCACGCCCCCCTTCCTTCTAGGCCCTGCCTGCCTCCCCGGACTCAGGCCTGAAGGGAGGCCTGCGGACGCCACTCACCTCCAGGCTCTCCAGAGCCTCCGGGGCACCGAAGACCTTGACCTCGGAGCTGGCGTGCTGGTTGCTCAAAAGGATTTCAGCCTGGTCGGCGTAGAGACCCGGGCTGAAGGGCATTTCGGCTCCGACCTGTTCTGTGGAGAAGCGGCTGCCAGAGAGGGAGGCTGTGACCACCAGAGCCATCTTCTTCATGCTCAGGTGCTTCCGCTGCTTGTCCGTCAGCCTGTGTGTGGTGACCAAGCAGAGGTACTGGCCTGCAGAGACAAGGGTGTCCCTTTTCTAACCGGGAAACACCTATGCATCCTCCAGAGCCCAGGGGAGAAGGCACCTCCTCCAGAAGCCTTCCTGGAAATCATCCTTCAGGGCCCTCAGCTGGGACATCCTGTGACCAGCAGTCCCCCTCAGTGTCTCAGAATCCTCTAGTCACCAGATCATCCTTTAAGTGACACTCCTGGGGCAGATTTAGGGAGGAAACAGAGCAGCAGGACCACCAACTGAGGGCCCTGAGGTCGGGCCCAGCACTGAGTGTGCCACAGGACGCATTTGCTGGACCCCAAGAGCAGCCCACAGTGTGGCCTCAGCTCCACCGCGCTGGTCTCCTGGCCTTGCAGCAGTTAGGCTCGGGCCCAGGGGACAGCCCTTGACTATTTACTAAGGACACTCCGGCCGCCTCTAACTTGCTCCGCACAGGCAGGGCAAGGCCCCATCATCCGCATTTCAGGAGAGGAGGCTTAGAGAGGAGCGGCCTCCACCCCCACAGGAAGAACGGCAGGAACAGCAGAGGAGGACACCGACCCGGGGTTTTCTGCTCTGAACTCTGCGTCCTTTCTGATGGGTGTAGGTGGTGCTGAGAACAGCCATGACCCAGCTCAGGAAGGCCAACCCTCCTGGTGGCCACTTGAAGCTGCAGGGGCCAGGAACCTGGCATCAATCCCCGGGCTGGGCTCCTGACAACCTCTGCTACTCCGGACAGATGGCCGCTGTGAGCTGAACACGCAGCAGACCCGAGATGCCCACAGGGCAAAGTCTCTCTGCAAGTCCATTGCACTTTCAAATCCTGGCAAACTTACCCAGAGCGGCATCAAAGCCTGGCTCCACGGTGAGAACATCACTGGCTTGCTGAAATCGAAGACGGCTTGCTGAAACTGCAGCTGGCAGCTGAGGAGGGACTCGGGGTGTAAGGTCTCCACAAATTCCATCTGGGCCGGGGAGCACTCACCTAGAGAGGGGGAGGGAGTGAGAGGGTGTGACAGGACTGCTGGCCACCACGCCCAGGTAACTCAAAACCCCAGAATGAGAGCAATTCAAGAAAGCCACCTGTGCCCACATGCCTTCCACGCAGGGCCCCAGGGCTGCCCAGAGCTTGGAGATGGAACCACGGTTGACAAAAGCCAAGGATAAATTACACAGAGGAGGGCTCATTGTGAATCACGGGGAGTTTCAGATCAGAATTTCAGCGTTTACTCTAGAGTGTGCATCCAGGGGCACGGCAGACAGGCCAGGCCCACCAATGCGTGTCTCCTGTCCCTGTCAGCAGGGGACAAAGGCACATTGACTCTGCACATTGGGAGGGCACCGGATCTCCACTAATACACTGAGCATCACTGGCCAGCAGCAGAGTGCTGTCCCCTCGCGCTCACGTAGGAAAGGAGAGGTGACCAGGAAACAAAAAAGCTGCCCCACACATCAGAACAGGAAGAGTGTATTTAATTCTACAAGGTGTGTAAGTGGTTTCAGAAAGACAGCCTGTAGTGACTTATTTATTTCTGGCAGCCGCTGTCCAGGGCTGTCACGGGCAGGGGATGGGGTTGAGTGGGCTGTGTAGGACTCGGGAGAGCAATTATAAAAATCAAACTCAGTGACTAGTCTGCCAAGTCATTAGTTTCTGGGATTAATGGTGGTGAACTGTGACTTTCTTTGCTCCAGTGCCCTGGGGCTGAGATTGCATTTCCAGTTCTGAAACAGGCAATTTCGGGAGCTGGGCTCTTTGATGACGATTCCTTTCCCTGGCTGGGCTTGTAGAGGACTCAGATTTCTAAGAGGCTAAAAGGCTGAAAGGCGTGGAGGAGGTGGGTTAAATGCTCTCTCTGGAGTTGGTGTGAGTTTGAATCGGAAAAGCTGATAAAACCCCCTAAGAAGGGCATGAGAAGCCATCTCCCTGTTCCCTGGAGCCTCGCAGGTTCTCCAAAGACCACGCGAGCCCCCTCATTCTGTACCGCGCAGGGTAGAGCTTCTGTCTCCCACAGCGACAATCACTTTGGAGCCTGTGGCCTCCTGGAAGCCGGTCTGGACGGGGTGGACATGACGGGCCACAATCTTCTGAGGGACGCTGACTACTATCTGGGGAGGCAGCCAAGGCAGCGTATTGAGCGCCCACTGAGTGCTGGGGCATAATGTTACCCATTTCACAGGTGAGAACACTGAGGCTCAAAGCCCAAATGCCTTGGTGGAACCTGGCAGAACTGAGTTCGAGCACAGGTGGGTCAGACTTCGCTGCCCAGTGTTCTCACACTGAACAAGCTACTTCTCCCAGCAGCAGACCAGGGAGCTGAATTCACTCATCGGGCTGGGTGGGCTGGCATTTTGTGGATCTTGACTTCTGCGACAGCCACGATCTCTTCTTTGTTCGTGAATTTAGTTAATTGATCTCGCAGCAAAGAGAGAAGGATCCATTTTGCTTTACTGTCACTTGATCAAAACGAGTCTACATGAGCAAAATGTGAAGTCACACAGCCCAGGTAGTGAGGACCCTCAAGACCCAGCCTGCCCAGATTTCCCAGCGGGTCCCCCAGCCCACCCCCGAACCTCCCCAGGCTGCAGGCCTCCCTGTGTCCCCTCTGCCGCAGCATCCCCCAGCCTCCTCCGCAGAGCCCAGGGGCTCTGCCCTTCAGGCCCAAGGCCGCCTCCTCCCGCTGGAAGACCGCCACCCTCCCAGCAGGCACCGGCACTCCCTGCCACCCACAGGTCTGATTTCCACCAGGATGTGAACTCCTGGAGAGCAGGGTTGGGGTCTCACTGCTCCCGGAGCCCCCACAGCTCCCAGGGCTATGGCTCATGCAGAGTCGTAGGTGACTGGGCCTCCATCACCTCCGAACTGCCCCAGGGCTCCTGCTGCCAAAGCACTGCCTCCCCCCGTGGGTTACCACCATCCATCCCCGGGGACTGACCGGAGGCTGCACCCCACTCCCCTCCCCAGCCCTGGCTCTCGTGTCCGGGTGTCATTTCTCCTACTGACTGCCAGCTGCAGGCTTCTCCCTGCTCCTCCTCCCCCTCCAAGTGGTGGCCCAAGGCCTTCCCCCACCCTCTCCTGCCCTGCACAAGCCTGGGTGCTCCCCCCACTCCCAGGGCTCCAAAGGCCATCTCGGGGCTGGAGGCTCCACCCCATGACCCACTCCGTCCCCAGCCTTCCTCATGGAGCTCCAGACACCCCTGCCCGGTGGGACCCCCAGCCTCACCCCCAGAGGCCACAGCCACCTCTAACTCCCCGGGCCCAGATTCCTCACCTCCTTCCACCCATGCCGGCCCCCACTGCTGTGCTGCACGCCACAGTGAAGGACCATCACCAACCTGGTCACCCCAGCCCCCTCTGCCCTCACGCCCCACTTCCAGATGGTCCTAGCCAGGTCCTGTCCTCAGTCTGCTCATTGGTTCCCCTGCAGTGACCCGCTTTCTCCCGAGCTCCACCCGATACGGATGAACCTTTCCAAACACACCCCTCATCTATGTCACTCTTCCCTTAAAAATAAAATCCAGGAAGTCCAGCATGTGATTCAACCTCCTTACTGGGAAACGGCAATAGGAGCAGATAATGTCTATTGAGCATTTGTCAAGTGTGAAGTACCTTTCTAAGTGCTTCGCACATGTTATTAATAACTCATTTAATCTTCACAATGCTACTATCTCCATTTTCCAGGCAAGGAAACAGAGGCACAGAGAGGTTCATTAACTTGTCCAAGGTCACACAGCTTTGCGGTGGCCGAGCTGGGATTGGACTCAGATAGCCTGGCTCTAGAGCCCACACTCTTAACCTGCACTGAACGGCCCGGAATCCAGTACATTTCATGATCTGATCACAAAGCCAGACCTCCCTTCCCCGACACCCTCTGTTCCAACCCCCCAGCCCCCACCCGAGGCTCAGCCCCTGAACCTCACACCCCTGCCCCTGCCATCCCCTCCCCGCCCATGCTCAGAGGCTCCTTCCGGGACAGCACAGTGTTACTGTCACATTCACAGGGTGCATCTGTCTGCAACTGGCTGGCCCAAACCGCACAGCCGCAGCACTAAATATGCAAACTATTAGGTTAAACTGCTGGATTCGATAAAGCACATGCTGGCTCTAAATGAGACACATTTGGAACTCAGCCAGACTTTGCTCATTGATTCATTCTCGGCTAGAGATAAACAGAAGAGACAATGGGTTTTGTTCGCCTCCAGAAAGACTCAAAAGGTGACTTGCCGGGGGAGGTTTAACTTTGTTGGTGACAGGGAGTCGCTGTGCTGCCCCACCCAAGGCCCTGATTCCAGGGAAGCACCCACACTGGGGTCGCCAGACCCAAGTGCATGGAGCTGGAATCGACCCTATGAGGTCGCCTCTCATCGTCAGAGCATTATGAACACAGGGACGGAGGCCAGGGATGAAAAGGGAACTAACTTGTCCCCACCTCTTAGAGAGTGGGTGGCCGATCCCAGACTCATGATTCCCAGATTCCAACCTGAGACGAACGAGAATCACAAGGTATTTTCCTAAAGAAAAGGTATTCACAATCCTCTGAGAGGGTCAGCCTCGCCTCATGGGCCACTGAGCCACGTGAGCTTGGATGCCTTGAAACCCACCTCCTTGTATATCCTCAGGTGCCCAGCGACCTCGTAGTAGACCGTCACAGATCCCGCGTCCCGGGCCACAGCCACGCCAGTCTTGGGGTCCATGTGGAGGATGCCGTGGGCCGAGGAGCTCCAGGTTCCTGAGAGGCCTAGGGGGAAAGCCCCGAGTGTCACCACCGTTGCCATGTCTGGACACTCCAGCCAAAGCCCTGTTCACCCGGATGGCCAGGCCAGCCTCCCCATCCCTGGACTCACACCTGAGGGGCTCACTCATCCCCTTGAGGAGAGAGCCCCCGCCTGCTGCCCTCTCTCGACTGTCCACACCTGCCCTCTGCACGGCTGTGGCCCTAATTCCCCTCCCCAGCACCTCCCTGGTGGACTGTCTTGCCCACCTGGCATGAAGCTGTACCTGGCTCCTGCCCTGGGATGGTTTGGGTGCTGCCGCCAGGCCCCGCCCTCTGCAGCCCCTTCCCCTCATCGGTGCCTTTTTAGCAAACAGACAGCAGGTGTCAGGCTCAGAGCTGTCACTACACAGCATTTCTGAGTTAAAAGTCAATCACGTTATACAATACATACAATAAAAGGACTCAAGAACCACATTCTATTTATGGAAAATTGTATCTGTTTTTCTTTAAAGGTAGTATTTAATTTCCTTTTAAAATAAACCTAACGAGGTAAAAAGAGTGGAGCCGTTTTGAAAACAAAGTAAATCCCTGTACATGTGTTCCCTGGGTGGACGGACGGCACGGGAGTGGCGAAATTTGGAAGCCACTGAACTGGCCCAGTGTCCTTTGCTTAAGTCTCCTCGCCTGTGCTGAGCAAGCTGGCAGCCGACTGCCAGGGGATTAATGAAAAATAGCAAATCCAGTCCCTCAGCTGTGTTAGCCACATCCCACGTGCTCGCTGGCTGGAGGCTACTGAAGCAGACAGTGTAGACGGAGGATCTTCCACAAGAGCAGGAAATTCTACCACACCGTGCTGTTCGAGCGCGGGGTTGGCACGTGTTTTCTGCAAAGGCCCAGATGATAGATATTTTGGCCCCTGCAGCCCATATGATTTCTGCTGCTGCTGCTCAGCCTGGCAGTGGTGGGATGACAACAGCCATTGACAGCACGTGAATGAACGGGCATGGCCGGGTTCCAGCAAAAACTTACTTGCAACACCAGGCAGCAGCTGGACTTGGCCCTTGGGCAGTAGTTTCCCAAGCGCTGCTTTGGAGCATCCTGCAGGGTCCCTGCACACGTCCCCAGGGACCTGCGCACCTCCCTATGGCCCCACCCACTCTACACGTGCTGATCATGCCCCAGGTTTCCCTGGGTCAGGATGTCCCTTACCTTCCAGGCTGACCAGAAGAGTGCCCAGACAGAGGACGTCCCCCACCACCAAGGCTCCGGACAGCTCTGGGGAGATGGCCTGCAGGACCGGCAGGGGGATGAAGTCGGAGAGGCCCAGGTGCTCTGTGTCCCACACTCGGAGCAGCGTGAGGCCCACGCTGACAGTGCGGATGACGCAGGTGTTGTTGGTGGGGCCCTTCCCAATCTGCACAAAGTCATCTCTAGGCACAGGGGAAAGAGGGGGCTCTCAGTCCCCAGAATGAAGACCCAGTTCCAGCGGGAGATGGGCAGTCTAGGTCCTCAGCTGAGCAACACTTTCTGCCAGCTGAGGTCCCAGATGCTGCTCCACCTCGAGGTCACTGAGGACCCCCAGGCAGGCGGAGCAAGCTGGACCCCTGCTCGCCTGCCCAGACGGAGCCCACAGCCCTCGGCTCGTACTGCCGGCATCGCCACCCCCGCACTCCGACTGCCGCGGCCCAGGGAGGAACGTGGCCCACAGAGAGTGTCCCGGCCTCTTCCCAGCAGGGAAGCAGACATGCTAGGAAGGCACAGGCCGCGCCAGGCCGTGTAACGGGAACAAGTCACCAGCCTGTACCCATTGCCTCCACTGTGACATGGGAGCGGGATGTTCCTGTGCCACAGGCCTGGCATGAGCACATGTGAGGGCACCTGGCGCGTGGCATGTGCTCAGTCAGCATGAGCTTCGGCCGCGGTACAGGAGTTCAGACTGCGTGGGTGAGGATCAGGCCTCTGGCTGTCTCCCTCGCCTCCGCCCACCTTCTGACCCTGAGTCTGACTGGTCTCTAGGAGGGGCTCCTGCCACGAGAGGGCAGAGGGACTTGTGCGACGCACCGAGGGGCCTGCCTCTGCCCCAGGCTGACAGAGGCCAACACTGCCAACACAGAGCTCCACAGATGCCAAAGACCCTCACGACCATCCCCTCAGTTGAAGGCCCTGGGGACTAGGCCACATGCCCCACACAAGAGGTGTGGAAACAGGCCTGGGAGGTGGCCTGCCTTGCCCAAGCTCACAGGCCCCACAAAGGGCAGAGTTGGGGCCAGCAGGAGGCCCGACTCCAAACCCCGGTTCTTCCCGTAAGGCAATGCCCCTAACACCTGTCCCTGAAACACATCTGTCATCTGGCCCGTGGGAAGCCCAGGTTGGAAGGGTCACCAACACCTGGGCACAGTCTTCTGGCTCTCAGGGAGCACTTCCTGGAGCCCCGCCTCACAGCCTACTCCTTTCTCTTGGGACTGATGCTCATTGTGTCTTCTCTGAGCTGGGCTGCAGTGCCCTAGGGTCCCCCTCTGTGACCCTGCATGGCGTGGCAGGCCCCTTCTCTTGGAAACCGAACACAGTGATAACCATCGTCCTTTCACGGCACCAGCCTCTCTGGGCCACCTCCAGTGGCCTCTGTCAGTTAGGTCCGGGTACCGTGCAGATAGGCCTCTGTAGGAGAAATGAGCATCACCCACACCCAACCTGTTAGTGGCAAAGTTCAGGACTGAATTGTGAGCGTGGAAGATGTCTCCGGAGTTGTCATGGAAGTGCACAGTGAAGGTCACAGTCATCCCCAAAGGCAGGGCTGCCAGGGCCTCCTTGTTTTGGGTATGCAGGACAGGACTCATGGAAAACCTCAGATAAGACACAGGAGACACCTGGGGGACAACAAGTGGGTGTGATGATGACTCAGCACTGGGCACTGGCTCCCGGGAAACTCACCTCCCAAGGAGGAGCCCCCTGCACCTGGCAGGTCCCCATCTCAGGAGCAACTGCGGACTGGACTGACTTAGGGGTCACAAGAAGAGGAAAGTCCTCGCTCCCCAGACTGGCCCAACCTAGTGACAAGATTCCTATCTCTCAACACAGTGGGTCAGCCTCACTACAGGAAAACCCACCCAGTAGAGTCAAAATCCACAACCTGGAAAAATGAGATTATTATTCAAATCGCAAACAAGGGCCCCAAGCTGCAAATGTCCAGTTTCCACAGAAGACCTGCCTTTCAGGCATTTAAAGCAGCAGCAACGCCCTCTTGGATGGCAGAGGCAGCATGGGCTGTCACGTGCCTGCAGTGGCCGGGGAAGGGGGAAAATGTGGGTTTCTGGAGCCCACAGAATCCAAGCTCCATAAACAGCAGCCTTGGTTCTCTGATTCCAGGTAAAAATCTATTGTGGCCAAAAAGCCCCCAAAGTACAAATTTCTTTGACAAAATGGTCTAGTGTCTGCTATAGAGCAAGTGCTTAATGCATATTTGTTGAAATAGGATGACCCATCAGTCACTTTCAGTCACTTAAAACTAGCTTAGGTGGAGGGTGGTCCTACCAGGCACCCACCTTGAACCAAAATGATATTCATTAATGGTACAGGCCTTGACCCAGGCAGAGCCTGGAGATTCGAGGGGGTGTGCACCTTCTGTCATTCAGAGCTCAAAAAGTGGCAACGGTGAGACATGGAAAGAAGATTCCACTCAGGATAAACCCCAGGACCTGACCCAGGGACACCCACAGGGAAGGCCTGAGCCTCAGAGCACAGAACGCAGAGGGCAGTGCTGTGATGGGACGGAAGGATACAATCCCGAGCCAGGCAGACTCTGGCTCTCAACGCCTGTGTGACCTGGAGCAAGTCAGTCCCACTGTGAGCCTCAGTTTCCTTGTCTGTAAAACAAGACCACCTCACTCTCAAAGCTGCACTGAATGTCACGTACTGCATGTCATGATTTGAGTGGCAGGGCCCAAGCACATCACTCGATGCTCCTCAGAACTGACCGTGTTCCAGGCGCGGGGCTGGCCCAGAGCAGGGGCTCCCGATCGCAGTGATGATGTCAGTGGCCAGGCACGGCGGGCGGAGCACCGGCACACCGGTCAGGAAGCTGTGGTGCCTGTCCCAGCTCTGTGACCTTAGGCCAATCATGGACCTCATGGTCCTCAGTTTCCCCATGCATAAGACACGGTACTTGGAATCAATGATCTCCAAAGCTTTTCACCTCTGTTGGCCAGAAGATGCTGTGGATTTTTATCTACAATCTTTGCCCCTGAGTTATCCTCACATAAATCCCTACCTCCAATTTCTCACCGGGAAGGTGAATGTATTCACTTTAACACCCGAGAGGGAGGAAATGTTACCTCACCACTATTGTGTTTATTGCTCCGAAAATGGAGAAAACATGATCCTACCTTTACGCCAACAATGATGGTTTGGTTGGTCCCAAAAGGCTCTCGTGCAGTCACTTCAATTGTGGACGTCCTATCACAGACCCTGGCACCAGGAAGCCCTTCTCATCAATGTGGACGACAGGAACCTTCTCGGGCCCATCCAGGACACGGTAGCTCAGAGAGGCCGCACCATCCCTACAGAAAATAAAACAAACCTGTTTTTACAGATGGCAGCGGCGAGGAGCCAGGTACAAGGCCAGAAGACCCAGCATCTGTGGTTCCCATAGGTCCCGCGAGAAGAAGAAAGCCCGGTCTTGGCCCCGCCGTGCCTCAGGACCACGTGCCCTCAGCTCTGCAGCCTGGTCAGTCACCCGGGGAAAAGTCATTCGGAAACCACCGGTCCCGGGACAGTGCAGCTTCTCATGCTTCGGACGCAAGCACCTGCTGCGGGTGCCCAGCGGGGAAGGAGGGACCATGAGGGCGGAGTTTCTTTCCTCAGCCACGTGGCACCTTTGCTATCAAAGACTGTTTCTGTGGCACATTGTTTTCCGTTTACTGAATTGAGGCAGCCGGGGGTACCGGAGAGAGGATGGGGTTTGAGTCGACGGAAGCCGAAGCCAGGCCCAACGCTCCGTGCCAAGGGTAGTGTGCACATCGTGTCCCCTCTCTGGGACTCGGTGTCCTCAGGCATGAAAAGGGAGCTCAGTAGGATAAGAATAAGCCACTCGCTAAGAGAGGGGTTTGTAAAGCACTGCTGCTGTGCCTGGGTGGGAGACAAATCACGCAGTACGTTAATATCCTCTTACGTATTCACGAATATTATAAAGAAACACGAGGAGGAAAGGCCTCCAGCTCCCAGGGCCGGCCCCCCCTCACCTCTCTCTCTGGCCAAGCCCCATAACCCTCTCTGGACAATTTTAAGCCAGTGGTATTGCCTCGGCCTCGACTTTCTCCCCCCACAAACCCCCTCCGCTTACCCTGAGGAGCGAGTGTCCACCCTTCAGACCTCTAGTTCCAGCTGCCCCATGTGGAACATGTCTCCCCTAAATCCTCAAGGGGAGCACCCTTCTCTGGGCTCTAGCTTAAAAATCACGCCTCGCTCTCTTGCAGCGCTTCTCACGCTCTCCTTCCGCAGGGCACCCCGTGTCATTCACCTCTGTGTTCCCAGAGCCCAGCACGGAGCCTGGCACTGAGTTACTTTGGGCTCAATGACCGCTGTGTGTGTGTCCTGCAATGTGTAAGTGCTCCTGTGGCCTCTACAGCCCTCCACTACGCAACTGCCATTCAAATGCAGGTCATCCTTACGAAAGGCATCCCCTTTGAATCAACTGTAGGAATTACGTTTGCGGACATGCCTTAACACAGCGCTTCCCAAATGGTACCACGCACCCCCATCGCCCCGGGATGTCATCAGAGCACAGCTTCTCCCTGGGCAGCTGTGGGTTGGGGCAGAGATCTGCATTTCCATCCTCCTGGGTGACGCTCGCACTGCTGGTTCGTGGACTACACTTTCGGTGGCAAAAGTTGCAAACACGGGCGGTGTTTAGAAAATTTAACGCTTCCAAGTCAGCACTTTTGGCCCTTTTCAATACTGAATTTCAGTAGCCGGAAGGAAAACATTTCTAGGCTACAGGGAGGAAAAAGGCACCCATGGGTTGGAGGACCGTGAAGGAGCAGAGGAGTCCACAGCGAAGAGAAGGACACAGAGGCCACCCCCTCTCCAAGTGCATCACCAACGACGATTCCCGTGAAGCCCCCACGGCTCCTGACGGCTGCGGCACGTGCACTGCCGGACACAAGTGCAGCGCCACAGCCCTGCTGATCGCGAGAGCTGAGCCACACACCTGTTTGTCTGGAGCTTCGTAAATGAGTTGGGTGCCATTAAGATTTGTTCTGCTTCTATTCCGGGGTTGAGCAGCAGCAGCTTGTCAAACACCTGGGAAAGAGGGCAGGTTTATTTTCCTGCGTGCACTGCAGTCACGTCCAGGCCAGGTGTCGGCTTCTCTCCTAGCAGCGAGAGCCAGGGGGAGAGAGAAGAGGAAGGGAGCGTCCTCACCTGCCAGGTCGCTGGCGACATAAGGGGAAGGGCTGACCTTCGCAAGAGGCCACAGGAGTGACGGGAAAGGCAGGCAGGCTCACGTCTGTGCACCGCGATGGCAGCTGCTGCACGGAGCCTAACGCAAGCCTCTCCCTCCATTGCCAGTCAGAGAGAACCTCACCTACCAGGCCCTGTGCACGGGGCAGCACGCAGAACTACAGCGCCCAGGGCCTCGCCCAGGTGCCGCTCTGCCAGGACTGAGCCTGGGGAAGGCACCACGTACACTCTCCTTTCTCTCACGGAGATACCCTGCTCCTCACTGCCGCCGTCTCAGAACCACCCCCCCCCACACCGCCTTGGCCCTGCCCGGCTCCCTGTCTTGTCACACTCCTGCAGGATCCACAGGGACCACACGCACGGGTGTGTCAGTGACCTCAGTGCCGCAGATGTTAAACCTCATGACAACAGATCTGAGCCCAGCACTCCCAGGTGCTCTGAGGCCCTCGCTGGCTCCTGGAGTCCATGGTGGCAGCTCTTACCTGGGAACTCCAGACCCCTTCTCTGCGAGGCTCCTGATGAGCTCACCCCCTAAATCCCCTTGTCTAAAGCTCCTAGGGCTGCCGGCTTCTGTGGCCTCTCAGCCTGGCTCAGGGGCAGTCACGTGCTGGGCAGGTAGAGCTCCCCACTGGCTTCTGATAAGTCCAGGAGGACTTCCCTGAGGGCCTGAGCTCCGGGCCAGTGTCTAATGTCATCTGAAGTGACGGGTGATTTTCCAAGAGGAAGCTGGCCTGACTCCCCTCCCTCCCAACACCTCTGTGTTCTGACTCTCTACAGCAGCCTAGATTTCTTCATCTGCAAGATGGGCCTAAGCCTAATAATCGTGGCCAGGTGCCGTGGCTCACGCCTGTAGTCCCAGTGCTTTGGGAGGCCAAGGTGGGAGGATCACATGAGACCAGGAATTGAAGACCAGTCTGGAAAATGTGGTGACACCCAGTCTCTACAAAAAAATTCAAAAATTTGGTGGGCATAGTGATGCATGCCTGCAGTCCCAGCTACTCAGGAGGCTGAGGCCGGAGGATCGCTGGAGCCCAGGCGTTTGAGGTTGCAGCGAGCTACGATGATGCCATTGCACTCTGGCCCAGGCAACAGAGCCAGACCCTGTCTCAAAAAACAAAACAAGACAAAAACACAACTAATAATCCTTGCCAGGCCTATTTCAAAGAGTTGTGGGATTCATGTGACATGATGCGAGGGGCAGCGCTTCCTCAACAGTGAATGAGAAACAGCCTTTGGGAGCCAGGTGGCTCTTGGTGTCAGGTGAGGCACGGTGGACTCAGATATCACCTCCTGCCAGCGCATGACTTCGAGAGAGAAGCAGCCTCACTCACTTTGACTCAGACGCACTCACTGCACAGCAAACACATCCACAATACGTTTCCCTCTATTTTTCTTAACACATGAATTCTCTGTCCTCTCTCTTCAGATGGAGGCAAAGTTATCAGCTATTTCCCACTTTCCTGTTAACTTACCAGCAAAGCAATAGTGCAAGCGCCATGGTAAATGGCAACTGATAGCTGACATCGCTGTCAGGGAGACAACAGGATGTGGCGGGGCCTGTGGCAAAATGCAGAGCCCAGCTCTAAATAAAGTGGAGGCTGCTGCTCATCTCCCGCTGATTTCGCCATGGGGCAAATGCCGTATCTCCAGGAGTAGCTGCCTATTAGACAGGCAGATAGAATCTTCCTATTTTTAAGTGTTGGCAACAAATAAAAGGTGTTTCAAAGGCCCGAGTGAGCCAAATAAAACATATCTGTGGGCTCGATGCAGCTTCTCTAGTTCCTGATATATTCAAACTCAAATCTGCTGTCAGGCAGGGAAACTGAGGCACAGAGCTGTTCAGTGACCCAGCTGAGGTCACAGAATTTGGAAGTTGCAGAGCCCTGTCTCTGCTTCTGTGAGATGTCCCAGAACTTACTTTGTGTTATTAACCAGGAAGAGCACGCATTTGTGCGAGTGTGTGGACGCACATCCTGCGACTTCACTCCTCTGCGACCCTTTGGTCAGGTCAGCCCCGCCTCTGGGCTCCCAAAGCACCTCCTGCACCCCGAGCCCACCACACTGTGATGAGTCTGTCTGTCACCCCCAGCAGACTGAGAGCTCCTTAGAGCCAGCTCTCCCAGCACCCAGACCTGGCCCAGTCCCGGTGTGGCCCCAGGGAGGGCCACCGGGCTGCTGGCACTTGTTCTCCTGCTCCCACACGGCCTCTGTGCACCTGCCCTTACCTGGATCTGGATCTCGTCAGACAGCTCCTTGGCAAGGCCACGCAGCTGCCCAGCTGTGGGGTCCAGAGCCTTGACCACTACCCTCAGCCCAGTTCGGCCTTTCACGCGGCCCAGCACGTTCATGGCAAAGTTGTACTGCGACGGGAGCCGGATTGACACCTGGGAAAGACAGCAAATGTGTTTTCAGGGAAAAGGGCTGGGGCGACTGCATCCCCCAAAAGGCAGAGCTGGAGAGCAGCCCCAGACTGCCCCATGGCTGCCTGTCTGTTCACAAAAGCTGCCGCCTTCCTGCCTGGGTCGGGTCTGCTGACCCCAGGGCTGTAGACGGCAGTCACCCCGGCATGGGCGCACACGCCTCACATTGCCTGTGTTTCACCACTTCCATGGGTGTATTTGGAAAATGCTGGGTCAACCCACAGGACCCAGTGGTCTTCACGGCAGGAGGTCTCAGTCTTTCATGCGTGGAGATCACTGAGGGGGATGCTGGCTTTTGCAACGTGTCTCCGCAGAGCCTGTTTTGTGATTGGATCTCTGCGAGTAAATGTTAGTCACACTGCCCCGGTTCCATGCAAGCCATCTGGGGAAGCCCCAGGGACTGGGAATAAGACCCTCTTACCACTGGGTTTGGGGAGGCAACCGTCCTACACTAGGCAAGCTTCAGGTAGCCATCAGGAAACCCCATCCTCGTGCCTGGGCCCCTCCCCAGGCCTCCATCCTCACTGCCCCAGACGAGGTAGGAAGTGGCCTCCCGCCCACCCTCCACCTGGGTCCCACGTGCCAGTGCCCACATGGGACCGCAGCCTGTATTCACAGTGGCCAGTGCCCGGTCTCCTTTCCCCGCCGGCTTGTTGAGCAACCCCAGGCAAAGGCCCTTCCTGTTTCTGGACTTCGGTTAACACACAGAGGGGGTTAGATGGTTCTCTACAGCACCTTCCCCTCTGAGATCTCAGGTGCAGCCAGGGGCCCCTATGCAGGGCCAGAGGAAGGGAGGCTTAGCCTCTGCCATGGAACAGGAGAAAACCCCAGGGCTGTCAGGCACTGTCATCTCAGAAAGCGGGTCCCTACAGATGAGACCCTGTGACCTTCTAGGACTTTCGTGACTTCTCTCGAGGCTGCTGATTTTGTTGCCGCCTCTGTTAGCAGACTTACCTGCCAACCCCATCTCTGGCGGTTAGCGTCCGGGAGAAGGGAGGCCCAACAAGCCTGGGGGGAGTGCTGGAGGGGCCAGGACCCTGCTGGGTGCGAAGGTGGGGGCCTCCTGGGAGACAATGTAACAGGAACCCTCCCTGCCCTGCAGGGAACTGGCCTGGTGGGCTCTGGGCAGGTGGTTACCTCGTGGTGCCGCCCTCGGAGGTCCAGGATATCCCGCTTGGTGACAGACCAGTGGAAGGTCAGGCCTGGCACAGCATTGCCAAAGGAGAAAGGGTTCTGGTGGTTGGTGATCCCGGTGACATAGACGGGCATCTGCGGGGAGAAGTGAGGCCCCTTGACCACTGGGTTCCAGTACCAAGAATGCCAGCAAAAGGCAACAACAGGTGCTGAGCCAGGCTGCCCAGTCAACTCCAAGTGCCACCACTTACTAGCGTGACCTTGGGCATGAATCTTACACTTTCTGTGTGTTCATTTGCTCATCTGTGACGTGGAGATGGTCTGATAGCAGCTTCACGGGACCGTCATGAACACCAAATGGATGAACACGCAGATGGCGCGTAGCAAAGTAAGTGCCCTATATGTGTGTGCTCCTGTTAGGTGCCAGCAGCTATTCTAGGTGTGGGCAGGTGACAGTCTAGCAGAAAGCAAGCATTCGTTGGTGACTGTGCAAACTCGGAACTCCAGGGAATGAATGCAATGAGTAAGAGAAGCTTTGTGCTGGAGTGACAGAGGGTGTCTGCCGGTGTGAGGCAAGAAGGGGAGCTAGACAGGGGCCAGTAAGCAGATGAGGGGGGCGTGAAGTGCTCTAGCTCAAAGAGCAGTGTTCGTGTTATAGCTCTTTTGGAACCAGGATTCAGAGCCCAAGACCTCCCAACAGGCTGCTCGGAGAGCACAGGCAGGAGGGGCTTGGGAGGTTCCCACCTCACCTGGGTCCCTGTCCTCATCCGCGTGATGGGGGCGCGGATCCTCACCGCCTGGAGCAGCAGCACCTCCACCTCCACGAGATCCTAGGAAAAGAGCATGGGGCTCAGACTGGCTGGGCAGATGGACCCTGTGTCTGTAAAGGACACCAGGGTGTTTTAGGAAGGGGCCCCTCCAAGGGAAGGAGGCTGGAAGACACCTTCAAGATGCCCAGGCACCACGCTCCTCTGCCCAAAGAGGCCTGGCTTTGTGGGTGGCTTGTCCCATGTGGGCCAGCGCCTGCCTCTCCCACACACCCCAGGAGTCCCAGCCTGGTTCTCTGAGCCTGCAGACCTATCTGATCCAGCTATTCCAGGTCAGCACTGCAGACTTGGGGCCAAGAATAGGGTATGCTCCTCTCTGAGCTGAGCAGCCCTCACAGGACAGGCCTCCAGACGCTCCCAACCCCATGCCCAGCCTGGAGATCTCTCTGACTGAGCAGGGGACAAGGATGAATGTAGGAGCTCGGCAGAGTCTTATCAGAGCAGACCTCACACCTCCTTCACTCTCAACTCCAGCCGGTCACTCTGGCTTCTGCACTGTCGACCCATGTGGAACCCAAGGCTACTAAAACCCTCACGTCCTTCTGACATGTGCTCATGCTGAGCCATCTTCTGAGCACTGTGATTTGGGTTTGATAAGCATTCGTTCCCCTCCTTGCTTCCTCCTTTTCATTCGTCAGTCTCCTTCTGCCAGTCCTGGCCCACTCTGCAGCCTTGGGGTTCTGATCCTGTGACCTGGATTAGACAGGACTGGAATGGCCACGTGGCTCTCAGGGAAAGACCCTGCCTGCTGGGGCTCCAGAAGACGTCTCAGATGGGGCTGGTGGTGCAGCCCCTCCATCTGCTGATGACCACTGAGCCCTTTTCCCAGCACCTCTTCCAATGGGCCAGATGGGGGGCCCAGAAAGGGAGGGGCCCAGTAAAGTCAGACCAGGAGAAGGAGGACGGCCAGGAGGGAAAGGCAGGGCCATGCACCTGTGTGACTAAACTTCCAGCCAGCTGCCCTTTCGGCTGCCTGCTCCAGGACGCCCATCTGAACCCTGCAGGGTCCCCAGGACAGGCTCGTACAGTCCCAGTGCTTTCTTGTTATCTTTATAGAATCCACACACAGGACCAGGGCATCCACCTCTGTGATTTAGAAAGACTGTGTGGTTTAACACAGTACTTGGAGGCAGGCACTAAACCCGCTGGAAAAAGGAGTAAATGGATGAACTCCACGCCGGATCAAAGTCAGCCTGAGCCAGAACAAGACTGGCTCAGGCTCCACCAGGGCAGACGCTCTCCGGCACCCCCAGGCGCTGTGTTTAGAAGCTCTGAGATCACAGCAGCACCGAGAATGCTCCTGAGGCCTAATTCTGGAGTAGGCACAGGATGGCCAAGTGCTGAAGCAGGGATCTATCCACAGTCACGTCGCAGGACAGAGCGCTCTGCTTACAGACCACGTTTCTGTGTAGCTATCGGGGGGGCCCCAGAGCAGCCTTCCCTGTGGTGCTTCTGCAGGTCACTGTGGGAAAGGGAGCATTCAAAGGTCCTTGTTTTAGCCCTGAGCCTTGTCAGGAGGTGGAAATGATCTCCCACCTCCTTTCTAGAGGATCAAAGCGGACCCTCCTAGAAGGAAGGGAAGTTGTTAGACTCTCCAGATACTGACTGTCACCTGCTGGAAGTCGTCCCACCAAAGGGGCAGAGAGACCCTCCCAGGGAGAAGACTTCCCTGACTCAGCCTGCCGCTCCACCGCCAACGGGAAAAAGCAGACAGGAAGCCCCCACCCCACAAAGAGAACTTAATCTCTGACAGAGCAAAAGATGCTAGTGGGGGACTCAGGTTCTCTTTCTCTCCTGGAAACACAAATACAGGTCTGAAATACGACTGGTTTTCGATGATCCACCCTCACGAGCACATTTCCGGAGACAAACGTTGCAACACAAATGTGCATTGCAGCCAACCACACCCCGTCCTCTTCCATCAGCACATCCTCAAGCCCTGCTTCGAATGAACCAACAAAAGGACTGAGAGCTCTGGAGCGCTGGGCTCTAGCCAAGTCTCAGAACTGCCACATGGTGGCCACGGGCCACTGGCTAACACCCTAGGCTCCTCGCCTGCAAACAGGGATAGCAGGAAAGTGCACAAAGGAGCTGTGACGACTACAGGAGATAAACATAAAGTGCTCAGGGCAGTGTCTGCCATCATCACACCCTGAATGGCCCTGGATGGGGGCTGGAGACCGTGTCCCCTAGGAGCAGCTGGAAGGGCTGGGAGACTCGGCCTGGAGAAGAGCAACCCCAGGGGTCCGGGTGCTCCCACGTCCAACAGGGCTGTTGGGACAGGGGCACCAGGCAGGGACTGAAGAGCCAGAGGGCAGAACCAGGACCCTTGGAGAGTGTCCTCGGGAGGCAGAGCCCAAACCCAGGAAAGAGGGCTTCATCCCAGTCACAGCCGCCCACATGGAATCCAACTGCCCTAGGAAGCAGTACGCCACCACCAGAGGCCCTGACCAGGGGGGCATTCGGCTAGCACCAGTTTCCAATGGTGCATCTGTTACCTGAGAGACGATGACCACCTTGCCGGTCTCCGCGTCCACTGCCTGCACGAGCCCAGACACGGTGGCATTGCCAACGGTGAGCCCCCGCACCAGGCCGGCACTGCTCACCAGTGCAACGCTCTCGTTGCTGATGGAGAAAAGGATGTTGGACTGAGGCTGGGGGCCACCCTCGGAGGTGACCTGAGGGAGGAGAAGCAGAGGTTTGTCAATACCTGCTGGGCCAGGCAGCCTGGGCCTCTCCCTAGGACAGTGAGGGCCCCAATGCCAGAGGCTTGCACCTCAGCCTGTGTGATGTCATGCCAGGACAGAGACCATCAAGGCGGGACACCTGGAGCTAGGGCAGCAGGTGGTGGCCTTGCTGGGGCCTGGCCCAGGCTGGTGATGGGGAAGGACGTGTGGCCTCTTGGCTCTCACCTGCATCGTGGCCCCGATAAGCAGTGTCACCTTCCTGGGTATCAACCTGAACGGAGGAAAGACCTGGGACGGGAGACACAAGACAGAAAGGACTGTTGTGCTCCAAGTTCACACTGGCCGAGCGTAACTCACACTTCACATTTTTCATGAGGAAAACATGGTATATAAACATCACTCCTCTGTGAAGAGTGACTGGTGGGGCCCTGCGTCCCACCCCACTGGCCGAGGCTCTGCGGCTCTCTGGGGTGTCTTGTCTGTAACTATGCTTCATTTCACCGATGCTAAACCCCACGGAAACAGGACCTTTTATCCACGAGTCATCCCTTTGAGCAGCAGTTCTCAGCTGTGGTCCCTGACTGGCAGCAGCAGCACTGCCTGGGGACGAGTCAGACATGCACGTCCTCCAGCCCACCCCGGACCCACAGAGCCAGAGGTGGGTCCTGCGCTCTGTGTTCTCACAAGTCCTCCAGGAAGCTTGCCATCCACTGGCGTTGGGGTTCCCTGGCTCCTGGGTTGCATCTTTCACTAAATTTCTCCTGATTCCTACTGAAAGAATGCCTTAGTGCAGTTCTCTACCTCAGTACACTCAAAGTTTGTCAGATGAGAAACAAAGGGCTCCAGGGGCAAGGACGAGCCCAGGCAGAGACCAGGGATGCTAGGCCCCCGTCTCTGGAGTGGGGCGAAGCCCCGCCCACTCGCCAGCACTGCCTCTCAAGTCCCCGTTTGGCAGGAGCTTAGAAGCGCTTGTAGGTGAGAGAATGTGTGAGTCAGCCGAGACGCTGCTTCGTGGGGGAGGATTAGTCTCTGCAGGGCTGTGCTATTTATAGGCAGAAATGACTTCCTCATCACCAGGAGAAGAAAGGTACACGTCCATCTGGAGGCACAAACTGCACCTGCCAGCTCTGGAACACGGATTAATGGAGCTTGCCAGCCCCTGCACGGCCCAGGCCCAGGGAGGATGCAGGCAGGGGCCAGTTTATTGCTGCTGCTGCTGGACAGACTTGCACGTGACGTCTTGGTGGCCTCTGGCTGCTGTGTGGCTCCTGCCCTGACCCAACACCAGGAGGCAGCCCCACATCACACACCGCGATGGTGCAGGGACCTCAGAGCTCCCTGCGTCTGGGCACTGCCTACCCCGGGAGTTTCCCTGACATGCCTCTGCTCGCACAGCGCCCATGACAGGGGCCACTACCCTCTAAGTGCCAGCTCTAAGGCTCAAAACCAATGGTAGAAGAGTTCTTCCACTCATGAGCCCAAATCCGACTGATGCTTCTGCCTAGTCACTGCTTTCTGGGAACAGTTCCTGTTTGTCCCCTTGCCACATGACAAGGCATGCTCCTTCTCTGAGCCACACAGTCCCATGTCACAGAGGGAAGAGAAGTCTCTCAGTCCCCTCCGCTCAGTCCCACCAGTCTAACTGTGCTGCCTCCTGGATCCCTGGCCTGGCGACGGCTGTCTTCCATCAGGGCACAGACTTTAATGACAGCCTCTCCATGGCACATTCTTGGACTGCCGCTAAAATTCCCAGCCCATCACAATAAAGACACCCTCTTCCCCCACCAGTGGGCTGATCCCAGCGGTGTAAGGAGGAATAGTTTTACTTCGATCTGTTGTGGGGCTGAGCTGATTCTCTGGCGGGCTTTATCAGTCACACTTGCAGTCAGACTGGTCTGGCCAATGGCCACGCCGTGGACGAGGAACGTGGCGGTGTAGTTGTCGAGGGCTTCGTCAAGGGCCCTGAAACAGAGAGAGTGGCTGGGACTTCTCCTCCAAGACAGACCTGTGGAAGAGGCTGTAGCTGGGGCTGTGGCTGTCCCAAAGATGCCCTCCTCCGACCCCTGGGAGGACTCACACCAACGTGACGACCTGGGAGGCTGCTTGGAGCTTCAGGTCCATGAACGGGAAGTATCTGGCCAGGAAAGGCTTCTTGTAAAAGTCCAGCACGCGGATGTGTGCCTTCACTGTCTTCCCAATCTCCACCTACACAGTGGGAGGTGCAGGCTCAGAGGGGCCTCTGAAGACCAATCCCACCACCTCTGGTCCCTTACAGCTTCCTGAGATAGCACCACCAGCCTCAACCCCACAGGCCCGGGACTATGGACTACGAAGCTAATCAACAGATGAAAATTAAGCGCTCACTGTATACAGGGGGGTTGGGGATTCCTAGCGGCATAAATCCCACTCCCTGCTCTTAAAGAACTAAGAACCTCATCAGGGAGATGAGGCATGGTTTAGAACAGCAGCAGGTAAACAGTAGGAGTTCAATAAATGCACACTGACTGAATAGCTCCCACCTGGCCATGTACAATACAGTAAGAACTTTAGGAAATAAGAGTCAGGAATACTTAGTGAGGAAACAGAAATCTAGTGAGTAAATTAGCAGTGGAAATAAGATTAGAGGAATCCATCTGAGGCAGGGGCAGAGAATGTCCGCATTTTAGGTAATCTAAGCCGCCTGAATATTCCCCTTCCAATTACTAACCTTCTTTCCATTCAGGAAAATAGGGACTTAACAGCAACCCTCTGGAAGCCTAGTTCAGTTCCCTTGGGTATTTAGAGAAATAAAAATTCCCTATTTATATGAAAGAAAAACCTAGATCTATCGTTGATTCATTTGTTGCAATTTTGCTAATTTTGCTTGGCATTAGCGAGCTTTACTCATTTGCTATCAAAACTCCAGAAAATCTAATAGATGTATTCTGGAGAGAAAATTCATGCTCCGCAAGGTGTGTGCCTGGCTGGTTAGTAACCTACCCAAGCTAGAGGACATGGAGTCCCAAGTCGAGGCTAATCTAGGGACAACTTCAAGCAAGATTTACTGCCCAGCCTCATGGAGAAATGTCAAGTGGGATGAAGACATACATCACCAGTGGTCACTCTGCATTGTGTGCCCGCGACAAAGGAGGGAAGAGACAGCACTGCGAGCCCACAGGGTGGAGGGACACAGAAACCAGGAGAAAAACCAAAGGCCACGAGGAAGACACCTCCCACAGTCATATCGTTCTCCTAGTTTCTAGGAATCAGGAGAGGGGCCCGAGTCGCGAAGCTTCCACTGACCTTGTCAACCACACGGACGTACAGCTCCTGAATGTCTGAGACGTAAACCACGGCCTTTGCCGGGGCCGGGAAGGTGAGGCACAAGTCGTGGATCATGATGGTCGCTGAGCCCGGGAGCAAAGGGTGCACCTGCAAGGTCAGAGGGGCCGGGTCACGTGGGCTGCAGGGTCCCAGCTCTGCTCCCAGGACCTTGGGCGGCTCTTTACCCACAGGAGCAGACTGTCACCCCACGGACACCATGGCCCGGGCCCCACCGGGCCAACATGTGAAGTAGCGGACAAGGGAAGTCCTAACCCAAACAGTGCCCTGTCCACCTTTCCTCATGAGCCCCACTGCCAGCCAGGGCACGGGCTTGGGACACAAAACATCAGTGCAGGAACTGGCCACAGAGGACAGTCATCTCAGCTTTGCACGTTCTGCAAAGAGAAGAAGACGGAAGCTGTTTGGAGGGGGGCAGTCAGCAGCCTCGGGACACACAGTCACTAGGAGGCAGAGTGAGGATTCAAACCCAGGAAGCCACGTCCTGCGCTGGCCACTCACTGCCACAGCCCTGGTGATAGAAGAGCACCCCGTTGGGTCTTCTGTGAAACCCCAAGTCAGGGGCCGGCAGAATATGAGGCAGCCACTTTCCAATGGCAGCTCTCACTTAGAATTCCCCACGGAATCCACAGGATCACGGAACCTGGGAACAGACCGCAGAGGTCACCCAAGGCAAGCTCTCCGAGTCCCGTTCATGTCTACAGCCCCAGCTTCGTGTGAAGTAGTGACCTCCCGAGAGGTTGGGAGCGAATGAACACACCTGAGCCAGTGTTTTTTAGGCTTTCCACTGCAAAGACACCCCACTTTTAATCCTTTTCTCTCCACCCACTTTCAAGGGTCCACCTTCAAAAGAATCTCTCCCCCTGACAAACCGCATCATCATCACCCTCTCCTGCTGCAGGTGATGGGCATTCACACGTTTGACGTCTGTCTATCTAGGGTGCACTTGCTGCACTTGTCACGCTCTGTGTGCTGCCTGGGCGGGCTGTGAAGCCGGGCGTGGGGTAAGCCCTGCAGGCTGCCTCCCGCCTCCATCTCAGCCTGGCTGTGCTGCTTGCGGTTTAGGCTCTCATATTCATGGGCTGTGTTTACAGCAAGCACTTCAGTGTCTACAAAGCTAGAAATTTAATATCAATAATCTATTAAAAAAAAAACAAACAGGTTTCTGACCCAAAGGAGGCATTCAAATGTGATCACATCTCACTCAGGTTCAAACCCTTCGATGGATGCCCAGGGCTCTGCGAATGAGCCCAAACCCTTTGCACACCCTGTAAAGCCTGGCCGGGTCCCTGCCTCTGCTGCAGTCTCCCTGCACACGCCTCCCGCCACCCTTGGGCTCCAGCCACACTGGCCTCCCTCCCATCCTCAAAGCCTGCTAGTGCCCGCCTGCCCACCTCGGGGCCTCACAGTCCACGCTAAAGACTTGGGACTCTTCTTCCCCCAGCCTTCAGCCGCTGGCTCCAACTCATCCCTCAGCCCCCAGTCCCAGCGTCCTTCCCCAGGAAGGTCTCCCCATCATCTGTGCTCACTTCCCTGGCTGGCACCACCGGGGCAGTCCATGCGGACCACAGCTGAGTGCACCTGTCCCCACCGGACCGCAGCCCTACAGAAGCCTTGGGACTGAGCCTAGTGTCTGGCCAGACCAGCCCCCACGCATGTGTCATAGTCAGGTCCAGGGTCACCACTCTGAGTGGTTCTGCACAAAGTCAAGGAGCCTGGTGCATCTGTCTGCCTGGCTTCATCGAGAGTGAAACCAGCTTTGTTAAGATGTGGAAACTCTGAAAAATGCCTGCAAACCTCATGCACCCTCACTGCTGATTCTGCTCCAACCCTTTCAATGTACAGGTGGGGAAACTGAGGCTGAGATAACGATATGGGAACGCAGCCTGGAAGGGGCAGAGTGGGGATGGAACCAGGAGCCCTAAGTCCCAGTTTAGGGTCCTCGTTGGACACGCTCCACCACCCAGGGACGGGCCTTGATGCCTCTCTTGGCCAGCACGCAGCTGTGGGCAGGGCCTGTGTGGTCTCAGTCATCACATGAGAGCCTGGTGTCAAACATGGGCTGAGGGGTGGGGTCTGGGGGCCGCTAGGTCTCTGGTTTTGCCAGGACCAATTCGCTCTGGCTTATTACATTTCCCACAAATTGAAAAATCACAGAGAGAAATGAGAGGCTTTTCTGAGAACACAGTTGGAGGCTCTGACCTGACACTTCTGCAAAAGTCACTGCTGTCAGGAGCCAGCACGTCCTTCACGACGTGAAAGGATTACATAGTGCACCCACTGCTGAGGGACCCATGCAGGGCAAAGCAGGGCAGGGTGTTTTCTATCTTTTACTGTTTTTCCTCTCCTTCAAAAGGACCACTTTGCACATTTTAAACAAAGACATAAAATGGCGGTGAGGAAATCAATTCCTCTTCCACTCGATTTCCCAGAGGATGGACATCCAGTTGCCTTCCAGGTGACAGCAGTGGTGACAGTGCCAAGCTGCCATCTACAGAGCCGCGTGGCCTGGCCTGCCCCCCAAGCTGGCGCATAGCAGCTCACTTCGCCCCACGACGTGCTGCGGGGAGCACTCAGCAAGCCGCTCCGGAGACTCGGGGATGGTGGGGGCTTGGCCCTTGCTAGCAGCGAGGCGGGGACCAGCACCCACTCCCACTGCCAGACCGCACACAAACCTCATGCCACACTGCTTCTCCCAGCGTCTGGGACCCGTGTGCTTCCTCACTGACACACGGGACGACGTCTGTGGGGGAAAGGAGGTGGGAGCAATGCGTGCCCAGAACAGATTCTAATTTCTAAGTGTTGAAAGTGCCACCTGAGAATGTCAGCAAACACTGAGCCGAGGGGAAAGTCCTGTCATCAATTCGGAGATGACGAACACATCACTGCTCATCAAGACGCTGTAAGTGGAGCCGGAGGCAGCCCTGCTCACGGGGGCTGCAAACAAGATGTCCGCAGTGCTTGCCGGGCCCCGAGGTTCTGCTGCATCATCTTGTCTCCCTGCTTCCTGGAGCCCCATCACACTTCAGACTTATCCCGACAGATGGTGAGTGTAGAGAAGCAGGGACCCTATAAATATTTCTGACTGTCACCGGAGACATCAGCTCCCGCTTCCTGTGGCGTGCCCATCAATGCCCCATCATGCGCCAGGCCACGCCATGCACGAGCGTGGGGGTCTGTGCCCCAGTGACCCGCCCTCACAGCCTACAGGGGATGACCCAAGCTCACACGAAAACCACAAGCACTGCGAAGGGTGATGGAGGAAACTTCCTGCAGGGACCCCGGCCAGCCCTGTGACCTTCCCATAGGCGAAGGCTCGGGATGTGGACCACCATCCACAGGTCAGTCTCGGGGAAGAGCAGGACACACCTGACTTCAAGCCCTGCAGCCGTCACCCACCTCACTCCTGACACGCCTCCCCGGGTGCACAATTGCACCATGTCAGCGGCGCTCCGAGGGACCCAGGAGACGGAGAGACACAGCCGCGGCTCACAAGAGCAGGGCCCGTCTGCCTCGTTCACCACTCAATGTCCAGCACCCGCACAGCACCTGAAACAGGACAGGCACTCAGACGGCGCTGAGCGAACGCGTCAACGAGAGGTGTGAAGTGCTCTGCGCACAGCAGTCTCCTTCCTCCGCTCTGATAATCACGTGGGTTCCACTCAGAGGACTTATTTTGAAATGTAAAGAACTGCTGAGAAGAAACCAACTCTGAGTTTAAATCAGGTAAACACTCCCATGTGCAAGCCAGCCGAAAACGGAATAAAGGCCCCTCCAGAGCATTCTGGGGCTGTGTGAGCAGAAGCTGTCACAGCCCTGCGCAGCCCACGGCACCTTGTGTGGGCATGAAAACCTCCACGGGAGCTGTCGTGTGGGCCCAGAGTGCCTTCCAGAGGTGCTCGGGAGCCAACACACACCCACAGGCCTTTCCTGCATCCCGAATGTGGATCCATAGGAAAGAAAGAAACCTTTTCTACGAGCTAATTGAAGCAGCATTGTGGGCTTTCCTGTCCCTCTGATTCAGGAAAATGAGAATGCGGCTAATTAGCAGCTGGAAAATGCCAAAGAAATGTGCGGATTTCCTTCAGAAGCAACCATCTGATAGGAGCTGCTAGGACCTATCACACATCATCAGCACTCCACAGAAAAGTCCTCCCACAGGTCACGGAAGAGGTCAAAGGAACCAGGGCCCAATTTCCACTTGGAGTTACAACAGTCTTTGGCACAAGCCAGACATGAAGGGGAAGCAGAAACCCCAGGGGTCAGTCAGGAGGCCTCCATGGAAATTTCTGGGGAAAAAGCAATTCTCAGGGGCCTGCCACACGGGATGCTGCTTGCCATAGAGCCAGGCCTGTCCTGGGGTCCTGCCAGCAATGGGGCATTCTGTCCCACAAACAAGAGCCCCGTAAGGGATGAGAAATAGGCAGACCAGGGGCCAGTTCACAACGCAGAGAGAGAGTGCTATCGCTCTGTAACATGGAACTGCAGGAAGGTAATCTTAGAATCACAGCATTTTAGGATTGAACAGGGGCTCAATGGTCTCCTGGGGAAACTTGATGCTGGAATTCCATCTTGAGTCTTTCAGATAAGTATCCCAGCTTCTGCTTGAATACCTCCAGAGACAGGGTGGTCACTACCTACAGAGGCAGCTAGTCCATCGCTGACTCCTAAGAGCTCTTGGCCTTGGATGGAAGGTATCTCTCGCCATAGGCTCACCCTCAGGGCTTACTCACAACACTGGGTGCCAGGCAAACGTGCACAACAGGATGCCCAAGTGTCACTGACACTGGGCCTGTTTCCCAACTTGGAACTCCCCGCTTTGTGACAACTGGTAAGTCATTTTTAATCTCTAGAAGTAAAGCGAAACCAGGCACATGTCAAGCAGCCAGAATCACTTAAGATGTGGTCTTCATTCCAACATGCAAGGTTTGACAGCAAACGTCCACTCACACCGGGAGCGAGTGGGGAATCTCCTTTCTTTCGTGAAGGACTAAGGAAGCCTGGGTGAGCGCTTCCGACGGTTTCAGGCTCCCAGCTCCCTCCGGTTTCCTCCCACCACACTTGGTTCCCAGGGGCTCAGGGAGTGCTTGCTCTTGCTCTGGGCCACAGCGATGAGCCTGAGCAGTCCTGCCAGCTGAGAGGTGCCTCTGAGAGGAACAGGACCGTCCTGACTTCCTCACCCTCCCTGAGGGACTGAGCTGGGAGAAAGCACCTGCTTCACAGGACGGGGGAGACCGAGGCTGAACGCTGGGGAAGGTTAAAAAAACAAAACAGAAAGAAACCTGAATTAACTAAAAGTTTAAAAAAGGGGAGGGTTTCACACAAAAACAGAGATTTCTATTTTCTCTAGAAAAGTCAGAAGCTCTTATCTTATAAGGCCCACATCCCTACACATCAGGTCTCAGCTAGAGGTTCCAGTTCTGCCAAGACAGTGTAAGGGGGTCCACGAATCCACGCCCCACGCCCCAGCAAAACCGGCGGAAATTATGAAAAACACACACAGCCGTTTAAAATCTCTGCAATGGAAGAATCGCTTGAGCCCACGAGTTTGAGGTTGCTGTGAGCTGGGCTGAAGCCACGGCACTCTAGCCCAGGTAACAGAGCGAGACTCTGTCTCAAAAAAAAAAAAAAAAAAAAAAAATCTCTGCAATGATTTTAAGAGCATACAGTGAATGAAGAAACATTTACTCAAGGAAATTTACTAAAACTGGAGAGGAACCACAAGCGTCCGTGGTATCTGAAATTAGACCCACACGCTCCCTGCAGCCTCTCAGCTCAGTGAGGAGGACTCCACTCCAGACCAGCGCATCCAAGATCACAAGGCTCCCTCACTCCCAGCTCCCAAGCTGGGGTTATCTTCCCAGGAGAGGCAGGATGTCAGATTTTCTCATCCTGCCCCCAGCTACCTGTTCCTGAGGCTAAGTCCCAGGCAAGTGTGGCTGAGAGCTGGGGGCTCTCTTCCTTCTTCCTCCCAGCCCCCACTCATGGGATGGAGGCGCTACCTCGGGCGCCGCAACACTGAGAACACGTGGCCGGTGGTGTGGGGCTCCACACGAGGAGCAGCCAGCTGGGAACGCGGGGGCTGCTGTCCCCATTCGCCAGGTGCTCAGCTCCTAAACTGCAGGTGTCACTCAGAGAGAAGCACTCCATTGCCCCTGCCTCAGTGCCACAGTTCTGGCTCAAAGTTTGGGCCTGGGAAGCAAGCAGTCATCAAACAGAAAGCTGTGACTTCCTCCCCGAAGGAACTGACTGCATTTGCAACTGAGTCTGGAGAAGTCCCAGCTGAGAGCACTATGGAAACCAGGGCGGCTGCACTGGAGGGCAGCCCACAGGGGTGAACAGTCGTGGGGCATAGGCTGCGCTGGAGGCTGGCAAGTTTTCCAGGCAGAAATGGAAAAGCAGACAGATTGCAAGAGCCCTCCTGCGGTCAAAACAAACCTCAAACACCTTCTTTGGGAACCATCCCTTCAAAGGGTCCCGAGTGTGACTGAACTGGGCTGTGCGGCAATTTGTGCCTCAGGGCATCGGTGAGGACGACAGAGCGGTCGGCCTCGACTGTCGGGGCCCAGCTGCTGGGTTCTTCGGTAAAGAGACGAAGAAAACCTACAGAAGCCACTGTCCTCCCAGGGTGACTATGGGCACACCAAGGCCTTGTCCCTGCATATTGTGGGCAGGGCTGTGTGTGTGTGTGTGTGTGTGTGTGTATTAGACTTCAGTAAAATAACACAGCTAGTCACTAAAGAAATAAACAACCAAATAACAACATGTTCTGGGGTTGGGGTGGGGTGAGGGACCAGTACTCAAAGTTTCTATAATATATTATCTAAAATGTCCCAGTTTCCAACAAGCAATTACAAGACATGAAAAGAAACAGGAAAGTATGACCCATACGCCAGAAAAAAGGCAGGCAACAGACGCTGCCTGGGAGAGCAAGCAGAGGTCAGCTTTACCAGACAGAGCCCTCAAGTAGCCACTATCAGTGTGTTCGAAGAGGAAAGAATGCTTCAGTGAAGAAAGATTTCCTACAAATGTCATATCAGACAGAGAATATCAGGAAAGAGGCAGAAATTAGAAAAAAGAGACCAATAGAAATTCTTAAATTGAAAAGTTAGTAACTGAAACCAGACATTCACTAGAGGGGTACGAGAGTAGATTTGAACTAGAGAAAGAAAGAATTGGCAAACTTGAAGACAGACTGATAGACATCACGCAAGCTGAAGAACAGAGAGAAAAAAGCCCGAAGAAAAACGGAGGCCCAGAGAGACGTGGGCGCCACCAAGTGCACCCACAGATGCACAAAGGGAGACCTAAAAAGAGAGGAGAAAGGGAAAGCAGAAAAAACCAGAAAGCAATAATGGCCCAGAACATCCCACATTTACTGAAAGACGTTAATCTGCACATCCAGGAAGCCTGATGAACTCCAGACGAAGTAAATGAAAGAGGTAGGCAAACAGAAGAACCCTCCTGGAGTCCAGACAAATCTCGAACACTTCCTGAGAAGCTATCCCTTCAAAGGATCCCGAACTTGATTGGATGAGGTTCTGTAAACTAAATCGCAGTTTACACAACGTTTAAAGCCAAAGACTAGAACAAAATCTTGAAAGCAGCAGGAGAAAAATGGCTCCCCATTTACAAGGGAACCCCATTAACAGCTGACTTCTCATCAGAAACCATGGAGGGTAACATATTCAAAGTGTTCAAAATAACACCCCCTCAGCCCCTGCCAACCAAGAATCCCACATCCAACAAAGCTAACTCAAAATGGATCAAAGACTGAAATGTAAGACCTAAAATTATGAAACTCTTAGAAGAAAACATAGGTCAAAATTTCATGACCTCAGATTTGCAATGCGCTCAGATATAATCTGCAGTGTGGGGGCTTCTTTTCGAGGTGACAGAAACGCTAAACTGCGGTGACAGCTGCCCAACTCCGAGCATCTACTAACCACCCCTGGTTGGGCCTCCAAATGTGTGCACTGTGTGGTACGTGGCTAACACCTCAATAAAGGCGTCATTAAAAATAATAGATTTCTGATCGTAGTTTGAGCTAAAGAAAATAATAACCATCACAGAAATCAGCTAGCGCTGCACAGTGGCTGTCCTTAGACACAGCCTGTGCTCTCCGGTTCGCCACAGGCCCCCACTCCCTCTTATTCCCCGACACTGAAGCTCAGGGTCATGTCCCTGTGGCATAGCACCTCCAGCTACGTTCCCCACACCCTGCTTCCTCCTCTCACTTATTTTACACCTGTTCCACCCCCTCCAGGCAGCTAATTTGTGATCCCCATGGGGAGCCAGTCAGTGGATGCAAAAAGCCAGAGACGTGGACCTGCAGGGAGTGATGCCTGGAAAGACCTGCGTGCAGAGTGAGGGGACGCACGTCTGATCTCCAGCTCTGCCCCAAACTTACTGCACGACAGTGGGCAAGGTGCCCTGCCTGTGTCTCTGAAAGGAGACTCTGGGACGAGGTCACTGTGAAGATTAACTTTCATTTTAGCCTTCCCTGAAGTTAGGAAGTTTGTTTCCCCCCGTGGCTAGCCTTCGAGGACTCACCTGCATGGACAAGGCAAGGCCAGGAGCGGTCACGGGATCAAGGCTGCAGGGTGGCCTGTAAGATCTGAATCCCTGTCACTCACCAAGCACTGCATCAACCCAGGCCCCTTCTGCATGCAGGAAAGTCTCCTCTGATGCCGGCATGACCATGACACTCCTCAAACACGCGGCAACCACCCCCTTTAACAGAGGGATTTAATGACACTACTGGGTGATGTCAGTGCTGAGCCTTGGTGTTTACGACTCACAGGGGTGGTTTTAGTGAACGTTCAATGGTGAGAGCTTCCTTTCAAAGTAAGTTCAATTTTCACGATTCCCTAGTAATCCCTCATGCAGATACACAGACATGTAGGACACTGGCTTCTGTTTGTTTTTGTTCTTTTTATCCTATGCTCCGGTATATTTTTTTCAAAAACAAAAAGCTTTAAACAACCCACATGCTCTACAAACAGAGAATGGCTAAAGTACAAATGACACCATAAAAGTTATCACCTAGCCTATATCGCAACAGGAAAAATATAAAATCTTACGACAACATCATTGGAAAAGGCAGACTGCTGAATCCTTCCACCCCACGGGCATAGCTAAGTCGGCACTTGCGAGAATAGGGAGAGGGTCGGGAAAGAAACACGGGAAAAATATTAATAGAAAAAGCTGAAGCATCTTCTAAAAACGATTTTCTTTGTGGTTGTTAGAGTGGTGCTTATGAAATAATGTTTTAGTCTTAATTAAAGGATGGATTGAAGGAAACCGTTAGGTAACTAACGGCGTGAGCAGCGTGGGGATGTGGAACAAACCCACAGAGGCAGCGCGGTGATGACTAAAGGTGCGGGATGAAGCGGACAATCTCAAGACCCTGCTAGTTATAGCTGGTGTGACTAAGTGCCAGCTTATGGAATAGTCAATCCACTAACCACATATTGGCCCGGGTGAGGAACTAAAGCCAACTCACCACGGCAACTCCCCTGGCCTCCTGGTAGGCCACCTTGACAACGTCTGCAGTGCTCGTGTTGAGGAAGAAGTATCCGGAGCCTTCTCTGACGTGCAGCTCCGCCTACAGGAGGGAGAGGCAGGGATCGGTCGGGCTGCATGTCAGAGGGCAAAGGGCGCCCCAAGTGGGTTTCACCCCAGTAGGACTGTGGCAGAACAAGGGTCGTACCTGGATGCCAGGGTGGTTGTAGATGGTCACCTCTTCTGGACTCACCCTCACGTCCTCCACCAGGATGAGCTCTATGGAGGCCGACACGGGCACGGGAGGGTCGTGCTGAAGGGGCAAG